GCAGGGACTGTTTACTTCTTGGCATGTGCATCCCACAGTGCCACAGAATATGTGCTTAATGAATTCTTGTTGACCTACAAATGCCCTGGGAATCCTCCGATAACCTGCCTCATTGGACCTTCCCAATCTTCTTTCTCCACCACATACTTAGACCCCATCACATACTCTATGATCCAGTGACTCTGGCCGCCTTGCTGGTCCTCGCACAAGACACCCATCTCTCAATTTCTTGCATTTTCTCCTCTCCCCATAGCATGTCTAGGTTTCTTTCCCTTCTCCCCTTCACCTCTTGGCTTCCCTGGCTTCTTTCAAATCTCAGCTACAATTCAACCTTCTAAAAGAAGCCTTTCCTGGTCCCCCTCAGTCATCACGCCTTTCCTCAGTGATTACCTCTCATGTATCCTGCTGATACCTGGTCTATGGGTAGTGGTAGGCATGCTGCTCCTTCTATTGTTCAGTCATGTCTGACTCTTCATGACCCCATGGACCGTAGCACGCCAATACCGTCTATTAGGTTTTCTTGGCAAAGATACTGGAATGGTCTCCAGGCCATTTTACAGATGAGGAAACTGAGGCAAACAAAGTTAAGTGACTTGCCCAGGGTCACAAAGCTAGAGGCCAGATTTGAACTCAGGTCTTCCTGCCTCTAGGCGGGGTGTTCTATCCACTGAGCCACCCAGCTGCTTCCTTACCCCCCACCTCCATTAGATTGTGAGCTCCCTGAAGGCAAGGACTCTTTTTGCTCTTTTTTGTTTCCCCAGTACTTGGCACAGAGTAGGCATTGAAATGTTTAACAACTCACATATTGGGGTGGGGAGGATGTACAGAAGAGAGAAGTAAATTCAGTTAACGGAGGATGCATATAAAAGCAGGAGGGCACTGTACAGAATAAACTGACTTTGGTGAGGAAGGTTAAGGAAAACAATTTTTAGCCTTATTGGAAAAAAAAAAGAAGGGAACAAAGAAAGGATAGATAGGGCTGCTTCTTGGGACAGATGAAACAATAAGGCAAGGCAGAGCTTCTCAGTTCTCCATTTCCTTCTGTTTTCTCTGTCATGGAGAATGATCTTTGGGCTGAGGATAACAAAAACAGCTAGGAAGGAATTGATATTTAATGTAAACACAGTTTATAAATTCCTCACTTTGCTGCCCTTGGCACATTCCAGGCACCAGGCCCAGACGAACTGCACCCCTGGGTAGTAACAGAACTGGCAGATGTGATGGCTGAATCCCTGTGAATAGTCTCTGAAAGACTATGGAGAATGGGAGAGGTAGCCCAGTATTGGAGAAGGGCAAATGTCCTGGTTTTCTAGGAAGACAAGTCTCCGAGTCAGCGGGCCAATGGGCCTGCGAGTCTCCAAACAGTAGACCAGGGAGCCTGGGAATCTCTGAACAACCGGCCAGTGGGCCTGGCTTTGATTCCTGCCAAAATTCAAGCATATTATATGAAGGGGATAGCTGGTGGAAAATTAGAAAGTGAGGCGGTACTTAAAACAAGCCATCATGTCTTCTTCTCTAAGAAGTCAAGCCACACCAATACGACTCATTTTTGGCAGTTACTAGACTAGACCAAGGAGCATGGAGGACCTTCATGTATAAGAAAGAACAGACTTGTTCTGTTGATCCTAACTAGATAAGGAGTGGAAGGTGCAAAGCGGTAGTTAGATTTGATGTCGATGACAACCAAAAACACTATAGATGGGCGCTATTCACAAATGGAATGTGCTGTCTTGAGAGTGACTGATTCTTCCTCACCGGAAGTGTTCAAACTAAGGTGGGATGGCCACTGGTCAGGTATGCTGTAGTGGGGATTCTAGATCAGTTACAGACTGGACAAGGTGGCCTCTGGGGGTTTTGCTTCTCTGAGATTAGAACATGGATAGTATATCTTGTTTGGCTTGTTTTTGAGAGAAAGGAGAGAGGAGGAAACCCTGAAACAGGTAAAAACAGGATGATGGGATCGTGAACATGCTATGCTCTTGGCCACCATGCCCCACCCCTTGCTTCTCCACTCCTCTTGGGTTATCTCTACCCCCATTAGTGTGTAAGCTACTTGAGGTCAGGGATCTTTCTTTCTTTTTGCTTGTTATTTGTGTAACCCCAAAGCTTAGCCCAAGGCATGGCATACAGTAAGAGCTTAATAAATGCTTGTTTCCTGCCTCCTTGCATGTGGAAGCAAGGTTCATGATTGAATGAAAGATGAGGGAGGTCAGAAGAGGATAGGTGATTATGAGATAAAAGTTTCTGGTAACTCATCTCAGATACCATGATGGTTAGACTTCCTAAGGAGTAGGCTACTTGGGCAACTAGGTGGTTCCTGGTGAGTACAAGTCTTCCAACAAGGTTTGGAAGATGACTAGCAGCCTGAGAGTTCTGCAAGAGATTCTCATTCATTCACTGAACAACCATCATTGGTACAGGGAACTCCCAGATGAGGAGACTCCCTCTATCGATGTAGGCTGGCATTTTCTCTGTAACTTAGAGTCTTAAAGAACCACCTAGGGGTTAAGTCACTTGCTCAGGGTCATGAAACCAATAGGTGGGATTTGAACCCAGAGCTTTCTGGCTCTGAGGCACGTTTGTTCCATCTATTTTGCTCTCACACTGGCTCTCAAGCATATATAAAATAAAATCACTTCAAAATAATTATTTTAAGACAGTATGCACTATTAGCAAGGGCTAGAGTAGGGTATGGAACCTGAATTGTCCCTTGAAAGAAGCTAAGCATTCAGGGATGGAACAGATTAGGTCAATCAACCAACTGCATTTCTTATGCACCTACTATGTGCCAGGAAGTTTTCTAAGTGCTGAAGACAAAAACTAACCAAAATGAAACTGTTCTTGCCCTCAAAGAGTTTGCATTTGGTATTAAACATTTGCCTTTTCCTGTCATGTCAAACTCCCTTCATAGTGCAAAGTCACAAAGGCCCAAGAATCCAGTGGAGATACCAAATTTTATCTATAACATGATGACATGTGTATATATATAGCATATATAATGTAATGTGTATATATTGTACATGTATACATATATAACCTAATGTGTATATATAATGTAACATACATAATATGTATATAAATGTATATACACAGATAATAATATCATACACATTATAAGTACACAAAATACTCATAAAATAGTTCCAGGGCTATTGGCAGGGGGAGAGAGATGCCTCAGTAAGCCTCTGATGTTCCTTGCTACACTAAAACTCTGTTACTCTGCTTAAAAATTTACTAACTTGCTTGTGTTTCCTTCTTCTTGGTGTATGGCCATTCTAGGAAAAAAGAGGAAGGGCCCAAGAGGGTTGTTATGAGCGACACAACAAAGGGATGGTCACAGCCAGGTGTCAGATAATTGTCAAAGTGACTCTCGCCTTCACCAACGAAACCATCTGTTCTACGGCAATGTTCTCCCTGAATCTGCCCAGAAGACATGATCATTCTCCCCATTTGATCTTGTTGTTATTCTTAATTTATAAAGCACACTCAGGAAATGCTTAATAACATGAAACATCGGCTCCAATCAACTTGGAAATGTTTTTTTTTAAAGTGTTAAAGTGAAGGCACATTCCATCCCTGGGATAATTAAATCAGCAGGGGCTCTTTGGCAATGTCACTGAGGCCAGCTGTCATCTATACATAGGAATGGTGAGAACATTTTTAAAGTAATTTCATTTTCCCCATAAATTAGTTCATGTGAAGCTAGATTTAAATCTGCCAGTGTAATATTTTCCTCAAAAATTCATTTCAACATCTCAATTCAATGCCATTATTATTATTATTATTATTATTAATTATTATTATTATTATTAACTAAGCTTTTCCTATGTGCTAGTGCTAGGGATACAAAGACCAAAAAATGGGAACCATTCCTGCCCTCAAGGAGCTTACATTCGACGTGTAACAAGTGCGTCTTTCTAGTTTGACTTCCTGTGGCTAGGGTGGAAAGTAATGAAAGGACCCAATAATGTGTTTGAGAAAACAGATGATGGTGACATGATGATTGTCCAAATGGCTCTTTTGCTTGGAATTGCGCTATGAAAAACCATGAGTATGTTTATAGAAAAGGCTGCAGACATATCAGTGATTTCAGCTATAAATTTCAAGACAGCAAAGTGGGAATAGCCATGAGGGAAGCAGTTTCATGGGAGCATAGCTCTCATTTGCATAGGAACATCTGATTGGGGGGTTCCTCCGAGACCCTCCATGGAGGTGGCTTGGACCAGCTGTGTCTTACTCCTCCAGGCTACCCTCCAGACTTTCTCTACCACACCCATCAATCACCTCCCTCTCCCCCTTTCAGCTTCCTTTTATGTGTTCTTTTCCCCCATTACAATGTCAGTTCTTTGAGCACAGGTACCATTTTTCTTTCTATGTATAACTGAGTCAGATACGACTGAATGATTGAACCACAAAACAATTATATGCCCAGCACTAAGCACAATGCCTGGCACATGGGAAGTGCTGGATAAAGGCTTGCTGATTGATCGCAGAAGACACCTCAGAGGTTATATAGCCCATATCCCTCATTTCACCATTGTAGAAGCTGAGGCCCAAAAAAGTCAGGGGAAGAGTTAGGAACTGAAACTTCTGACTCCAAAGCCAATCCGGGCTTTGTTTTTCAAAAACCCAACACCTGAGGAAAGGTCTTTCGAAAATACTGTTGGCATGCAATACTCGTTTTTGACAATAAAAGAAAACCAAGTATGAAATGGGAATCAACTTGAGTACATCTAAGTGTCTGTTTGATTTGGGGGGAGGAATTTGGTATTTCTGCAAATACGTTACTTACATTCTCAAATTTCTGCTTCTAAATCAATCAGACATATTCAGTTAATTAAATGCCAATATGAGAAATATGACAACGCCTAAAGGAAGAATTGCAGTATATGACATAATTCTTCTCTGGAGGTTTTATGGCAGGATGCAGACAGGCTCTACCCCAATAAGGAAAGAAGGGTCGCCATTTATTAAAGCATAGAAGAACTTGCAGAGCTTACCTCTTGGACCATCGATAGCAAGCTCTTCCGTGGCCACAGCAATTCAGACCTGGTATTCGATGTCCGCCAGATCTTTTCATTATCATGCCCTCTCTGAAATAATTGCAATAATTCATTTATAAATTTTAAATTTTATCATGAATTTGAAGTTGGCAAAGAGTTATGCTTATATATCACCTTATTGTAGCCTCATAACAACCTTTTGAAGGACATTCTACAGGTATTATTATCCTCATTTTAAACTCAGTTTCAGAAGAAAGGAAGTGACGTAACCAAGGTCATCCATCTGAGCAACATCTGAGGTGAGAACCTAGGTCTTCCTGCACCAGATACAACAAGGTGGTGAAATAGATAGAGCACTGGGCATGGAATCAGAAGTCATGATTCAAATACTGCCTCAGATGCTTATTCACGATGTGACCTTTGGCAAGTCACCTAACCGGCACCTGCCTCAGTTTCCTTATTTGTAAAATGGGGATAATAGCACTTCTCAGGGTTGTTGTGAGGATTAAATGAGATAATATTTGGAAAGTGTTTTGCAAACCTCAAAGTGCTAAGTGCTAGTTATTGATGTTATTATTACTATTATTATTATTACCACCACTACCACCTTGAAGCCCACCATTCTATCCATTCTGGCAAACTCCCTTTTATGGCAAAAGAAATGTTAACATGATCAGTGCACTTTAATTTGTCGCTAAGGTAGATCTGACTTGACAATTTAGACTTGGAAAGGCTTGACTTCTTTCCCTGATGTCCCTCTTATACTGTTTTGTACTTCACCTGAATGCTGGGTTATGTATTATTAACACCAATCACATTATTTATTATTATTATGATTAATAATTTGAAATCGCACTTGGAGGTTTGCAAAACACTTTGCGAATATCTCATTCATTACTGAAAATGACTCCGAAAGGTAGGTAAGGTACTATTATCATTCCCATTTTACGGATGAGGAAATCAAGGCAGGCAATGGTTAGATGACTTGTCCATAGTCACATAGGTAGTAGGGTCTGAGGTTGGACTGGAACTCAGGTCTTCTTGACTCCAAACCTGGTTCTCTACCACCAGCTGGGGAGTGATTCTTATGATTTCTCTAAGGCTACTACAAGATATAAAAGGGCTGGGGAGTAGATGATCCCTAAGGGTCCTTCCTATTCTAAACCCTATGACTCCTGGACATGGGTCAAACAGAAAGGGCAGTAGCAAAAGATGCATAAGACTGGCCTCAAGGGAAACACACACACACACAGCAAAGCCAGACTCTTAATGACAAGATATTCACCCAATACAAGAGATTAAAAGTTGGAGAAATGGATCACTCTTTTTCTACTCTATACTGCAAAATGATTTTTAAATTCCTAGGCCACTGGATTATTGCTCACTCTTGCAAGATCCCCAAAAGAAGAGGACTTCTATCTGTTGCATTTCAATCCAACCCTCACCCCTCGCTCACCCCCCACTCAGCCCCCCTACACCCACACTGTCCAGTTGCAACCAAAGGCTTGCAGTGTCCTTTGGGATTAAAAAAAGGAAATCTCGCACCATGTGTACTTTGGAGGGGAGGGTGGAGGGCCCGCTACAGCTGTTCACAGCAGTGTGATAGGTGGGTTCCTGTCAAATAATTTCCCACAGTTTCTATAATCTGAAGGGGGTGAGGGGGAGAAGAAAAGAAACATCTGGCCAACATCTGGCCACATGAGGACACCATACTCCAGTGCAGTTCCCATGCCAGAGAAGTCCAACTGTGACGCTGACCAATGCCCCATGATTCATTTAAACTATCACCAACTTGAACTTACATGCCTTTTGGTCCCAAATCATGGATGAAGGACAGCTGACTCACGTCAAGGAACTCAGTCTGCAAAGGGACCAAGAAGCCGCATTTTAGGACTCAGACAACAATGGGCTATCGTTAGTAAGCAGCCCTGGAGTTGCTTACACCAGGCCCCACAATACTGGTTTAAGAGGAGAAAACAAAAACTCTAACAATATGACTGCAAAATAATCACAGCAGGAACTCGTGTGCAAAACATACAATGAGCCACATCTCAGGTGTTTCAGTATTTACTGTGGGTAATACATATTTTGTTTTCTTTAGCACCCAATAGAAAACCATACCTATTTTTTACTCTAGGGACCATTTTCCAGCTCTGTGGACAGATTCCTCTGTAGCACATGCATCACACACACACACACACACACACACACACGTATAAGGAAAATACAATCAATTTCCCCTTAGTCAGTTTTCACAAAAGAGATTTTGTCTGAAGAGCAAGTAATGAATGCATACAGATAGTGAAAAGCCATGCTGTGGATGCAGCACATGGATTAGAATAAAAAGACCTGAAGTTGAATCCCAATGTCCCAACACTTAGTAGCTGCGAGGCTTTGAGAGAGTCATGTAACCCAAACCTCAGTTTCCCCATTTGTAAAACAGGGACAATTATACTTGAGCTACTTTTCCTCCTGCATCGTCAAGAGAAAGGTCTTGAAGAACTATGCAGAGTAGTAGATTTGCAGTTTCATGTGCAATCATCTTTTTTTATTATACTATGTTATGGAAATGCTTGTTTTATCCCATAAATTAAAAATAAAATTTTAAAAAGAACTACGTAGAGGTTAGTTATTATTATTATCATTATTATTATTATTACTACTACTACTATCATCATTTTGTTGTCATCCTTGTTGGGTGGAGTTAAATTGAAATGAGTTTATGACAAGTTGCTCTCTAAAGTTATTTCATGTTTAACGTTATCACACAAGTGGACAAAATTATTATGGAAAAAATAACATCGTCATTGTTACTAATGTGTCAGCATCCATTTTCTATCCTATTGCTGAGAATGCTCGTTGATTTCAAAACATCTTCTGCAAGGGGTTAGCGGTGAGGAGTCTTCCCCTGCATGACCCATAGCCACGAGTGTTCAAATCAGAAACCTGCACTCACCATCTCCCTAGAAACATCTGAGAAAAGCCATGCTCAGCAAATTACAAATTAAACATGGGAACGTCACCTAACTTATGCATGGCAATGGGGTGTGCAAATGGGGAAAAAAAGGAAGCAAATATTAAAACCCAGGTTAAGTCAATGGAGAAGGAAATGGCAAACCACTCTAGTATGTTTGCCAAGAAAATCCCAAAAGAGGTCACTGAAAACAACTAAAACAACAACAAAGGGTAATTCAGTTCAAACCATGTACACTCTTCCCATTTGGAGACGTCTTTTTAAAAAAGTGTCAAAAAAAACATACTCCCTGAAAAATTTCACAAAATATTATTTTGAGAAACTGGTATTTTTTTTGGATGCTGTATTTGTAGCTTTGATTTCTTTAGGGTAGGGATCTCTCGAGGAGAGAAAGCCCTCTGTCCATGCAGATCAACACCCACTCCGCCATTTAAAGTCTTAGACAGTAACCTGAGAGTTAAGTGAACCCAGGTCTTCCAAACTCTGAGGCAAGCACCCCATTCATGATATCACACCGTCTCCATCATTTTGGAAAATAAACAGAAAATTACCAATGGTAACTGTCTCCTCTGACTAGCCAAATAGCCCGAAGTAGGAATTTATGTGTCAGTACGTCTAACTTTGATGAATAAAGAAATAAGTCCTCTGTACTCAATTAACTAGCATTTATTAAGCACCTACCATGCGTCAGTCACTGTGCTAAGTGCTGGGGTTACAAAGTAAGGCAAAAGAAAGCCCTCAAGAAGTTACAGTCTAATGGGGAGAGAACATGCAAACAACTATGCACAAATAAGATATAGACAAGATAAATTGGTGGGGGCTTCAGGGGGGAGATCAGACCGGTCTCGAAGGCTGTGCTCAGTTCTGGGCACCACAGGTGAGGTCAGACATTGGTGGGCAATGCCAATGAAGGGAGTTGGGGTGATTAGCCTGGAGAAGAGAACATCCATCAGGGAAGGGACAGGCTTCCTAGAGCATTGAAAGAGCTGTTTGAGGAAGAGGAATTGAAATTATTCTGCCAGAACTAGAAGGAAGGGACAAAGTTGCAGAAAAGCAGATTTAGGCTTGAGAACAGGAAAAACAACTTGTAAGCAATATGAGTTATCCCCCAATGGAATGAACTGCATAGGAAGGAAACACAAATAACTCTTATTTAAGCGATGACTGATACCTCTCTAGCCCTTTAAAGTGTTTAAAGTGTTGCACAGTGGGAAAAGCCCTGGCTTTAAATCCTGCCTTTGTCACTTAATATCTATGTGACCTTCAGCAAGTCACGTGACTTCTTTGGGCCTCAGTTTCCTCATCTGCAAAATGATGACTTCTAAGGAAAGCCATTTCTGGCTCTAAATCAATGAGGTCGTAAGTGCTTTATAGACATACATTATTTCATTTGAGATTCACAACAACCCAATGAGGCAAATTAGTATCTAGCACCAGTATTAGTACCTTCATTTTACATATGAAGAAACTGAAGCATGTAGAAGTTAAGAATTTTGCTCAAGATTCTACTTCACAGCCAGTGTCAAGAGGTGGGACTTTCCAACCAATAAAAATATTCCTTCAAAAATACTTTAAATGCAAATAGCATTTGGAGGTCAAGGATTCAAATGTATTTACCAAGACTCAATATCTAGAGGGCCAATGTGTAAAACAAAAGGATGCTCTGGATGGAGAGACCAGCCAAGTCCCAAGACCCCGGAGTCAGGAAGACGGCTCTTCCTGAGTTCAAATCCAACTTCAAACACTAGCTGTGTGACCCTGGACAAGTCACTTCAACCTGTTTGCCTCAGTTTCCTCATCTGTAAAATGAACTGGAGAAGGAAGTCGCAAACCACTTCAGTATCTTTGCCAAGAAATCCCCAGATAAGGTCATGAAGAGTCAGACATGACTGAAAAATGACACAACACCAATTTCTATCACACTCTCAGGTATGCAAAGCACCTTCCTGTCAACATGTATCATCATAGCCATTTTAGAGATGGGGAAACAGAGGATTTAGGTGAATTGCCCAAGGTCCCATGGCTCATAACTATCAGAGCTGGGATTTGAACCCACCTCTTTCCTGTCCTAAGTCCAGGGCTCCACACCCTGTTATGTATCCAGGCTGTGCATGAAGACCAGGCACACAAGAACACTGATATATGCACCAGTCCTTGTTGATATTAAAAGACAAGGATACTGAGAAAATCATTGTTCCTCTTCTCTCACTAGCAACAAAAATTCAAAGAAAAGTCAAAGGGAGCTGATTCAGAAGAAAGAAGAATTTGAAGACAGAGGAATAAACATTAGATGATGGGGTGAGGGAGGAAGAGGCTTAACTACCCATAGTGATGAGTTATCGGAACTCTGGGAGTAAAACTTTAACAGAACTTTACTTCCCACCAGAAATTCCCATTGCTTTCCTAGACTGGATCATAGTCTCCAGAGACTTATCATCCCGCAAGATGACATCATACCTCTTCAGTACCCCTTGGGTCCTCTGACTGGAGAGGGTAGACACTGGAGAGCTCCCAGCTACAGGACTCCATTATGCTCCTTCCTTGTATGTGTTGTGTCCTTCCTCAGACTGGAAGCTCCTTGAGGGCAGGGACTGTCCTTTGCCTTTCTTTGTATCTCCAGCACTCCAGACAGTGCCTAACACTTAATAAATGTTTAATAAATATGCATGGACTGACGCATCAATTTAGCTGAAGGCCAGGACAAAGTACAGTAGACAAAGTGCAAGATTTGGACTCACAGGGCTTGGTTTGAAATCCCCATTTTTCTACTGTTGTAGCACTGAATTTGGAACCAAAAGACCTGAGTTCAGATCCTGCCTCAGACACTTAGTTGTATGACCCTGGACAAGTCATTTAACCACTGTCTGACTCAGTTTCCTCATCTGTAAAATGAAGGGGCTGGAGTTGATGACCTCTTAAATCCTTTCTGCCTCTACATATATTACTGAGCAGTTTAATTCAAGGAAGAAACTGAGAATGATAGCAATGTTTCTTTCACTCGAGTTTTTGTTTTCCAGCAGGGTACATTTATGTGTTAACACCATGTTTACCCCTACACAGTTAAAATGATAAACCCTTTGAAATAGGAGAAAACTGAACTCTGTTCATTCACCAGGTGGTTCCTTTGATCTAAAAGTCTCAAATCATCACCCTTGCCGGAGATAAGAAATTTAAGACAGGGAGATTAAATGATTAATTGGGAAATATTTCTCACAAGTCCCAGGCAAGTAGGTGCCTTGCAATGGGAAAGTTTTGACTCTGCTTTGAGATTATCATCTTTAATTATATATCTATAGGTATGGATATATACACACACACATACATACATACACAAACATAGGCATATACACACATATGTATATTGTATTATACATATATGTATATATCCATACATGTATGTGAAAAGTGTTCAATTGCTATTCTTCCTTCTCCCTCTAACCTACTGGGCTGGCATGTCCTTCTAGATTCAAAAGGCAGGGAATGCTAAGGAATGCCTCTCCTTCTGCCTAGCTCTGATTCAGCTTCAAAAAGTGAAAGGAAGTTTGCTTTAAGCATTCCATAGGATGGAGAGTGAATTACTATTGTCATTTTTTTTGAAATCAGCTGAAAACAATCAATTCTTGATTATAGGGATCAAGAAATAAATCCAGTGGATTACGAATAGCCACCGAGGGTGCAGCCCATTGTCTTCACCATTGGAGCAGGTACATGAGAGGAAGCCTAGCCTAAAAGATCATTCAATCCTAGGATCTTACAGTAAGAACTTAATTTTTAAAAAAAGCCAGACAGAGTCCTAAGACCTGGACTCAAATCCCACCTCTGACACTTTCATCCCAATTTCCATTTGATCTCTCAGAACATCAGTTTCCTCATCATTCTTTCACTCATTTCTTCAATAAACATTCATTCAGCATACATACTATGTGCTAGTCATTTTGCTAGGCACTGGACACACACAGACAAAAAATAAGAGCACATCCCCTCAAAGGGCTTACATTCTTTTAGGAGAAAACAACTTGAATACAGATAAGTACAAAATTTATGTAAAAAAATGCAAAGGAATTCTGAGGTGGGGGAGGAAGCATCAGCAATTGGAGAGAGGGCAGGAAGCAAGGAGCAGAGTAGTATAATAATACTTGAACCTCCTTGCCTTACAGTTATTATGATTAATAATAGCTAGCATTTATATAACATTTTAGCACCTGCAAAGCACTTTACAAATACTATTTTGTTGGATCTTCAAAACAATCCTGGAAGCCAGATGCTTTTATTACTTTCATTTTACAGATGAGAGTAAACTGAGAGAGATGGAGGTTAAGTAACCCACCCAGGGTGACACTGGATTTGAACTCAGGTCTTTCTGATTCCTATTCTCTATGCACTATACCTCCCGGTTGCCTCCTATTATAGGGAACAAACTTTTCAAACTTTAAAGTGTTCTAATAATGTGAATTATTATCATTTGGGTAGCTTATTTTAACATACAATTTGTGTAAGAAATAAGAACAAATAAAAAATAAGAACTCATAGGGAAAGATGTAAAATAGAGATGTAAAAACAAGAGACACAAACTATAGTCACAGAAGGGAAACCCAACGTTTACAATTTAGGGAGAATGAGTCAGTAAAAGGCTTTATTTTGTGCACATTTACAAGCCAAGGCAGGGAGATGGATCAGTTGGCTCATAGACAAGGTAAGTCTCTTTCAGGAGGGAGCAAGCTTCTGAATATGAACCACTTCCCGTGGGTACTCAGAGTACTGAGAAAACACAGTTATTTATGTTCATAAATGGTCAGTTGGTCATTGGCCTTGGTCAGTTTGTTGTATTCCAGAGGAAAGAACAGAGACTCTCTAATCTCCCCAGGACATCAGTGGCCTGGGGGAGAGGGGTCTGAGTGAGGGTGGAGTGAAGTAAAAGGCGCTTCAGGTCAGGGCCAGTTCATTTTTTTTTCCTCAGTCCTGCCAGAGCCCGGGATGTAGAAATTACTTAATAAAAAAAATGCTTCTTCAATTTAATAGAATTCCATCAATTAACGTTGAAAAGCTTTCAGTAAACTGAGGCAAGAAAAAATTCTTGGATGTTGAAAAGAATCTCTCGTAAGGAAATTCTAGTTACACAAAATTCTTTCAGGCTTTCAATGTGGATTGTAGAGGAATTGGTTAAAGTCTGATTCAGCTCTCAGGGTCCTTAACGGTACAACACCACACTCTGCCTGGAAATGGAAGTGGCAAGTCATGTTGGCAGAGCAAGGTGGCACTAGCAAGCATGTCCCTTGTTCTGGCCCAAACGACTCCAAAGACCCAGGGGAGAGCCCCCAGCACATTGGGCTCATGCTCCCATGGAGAACTTGGGGAAAACGAGGCCAACAGTCACAGGGGGGTGAGAAGGCACAGAGGAATCAAAGTCAGCACTGTTGCAAGGAATGCCAACATCCGTGAGAACTTGTATCCACTGCAAGAGTGTTCTATCTCCATCATTTGGATGTTTCTCATATCAGATCAATTTTCAATTCCATTTTCATCTACTTTGAACTAAAGACACAATCCAGAAGTGGATAAAAATATGCGAGTTAATAAACAATGCAATACGAGAGAATTCATTTTCATGGATCTGAGACTGTCACAAATCTGATTCTCTGTGTTCCAGTGAAAGATATTATTTCCAAAGTCAAATCACTGCATGATACTCACCGTGGCATGATAGTTTCTATACATGGGCATTTTTAATAGCTTTGTCAAGTAATCTTCCAGTTGTTTCTGAAATGCAAATATTAAGGCTTCGTTTATAATGTGCAAATATATGGGAAAACAGAAAGCCATTAAAAAAAAGTGATTCTAACCTCAGGGGCCAGTTACTGTCCTATGCACTTCATCTGGCAACAATTTTTTTATTCTTTTCTTGAAGAGTTATTTAAATTTTTAATTACTACTTAACTTTCTCTGCCATTTTATTTTCTAGGCCCCAACTAGATTATCATTTCCTTGAGGGTAATGATTTTTCTTGAGTAACCATCATCTTTCTCTCCTCCTCCCTCCATCTCAACATCCATAGCAAGGGCTGGTATATAGTAAGTGTTCCGTAAATACCTGGAGATTTTGATTTGACTCAACCATGGATGGTCATCTTGGAGAACAAATAGGAATAAGGATTGAACTTATTATTTCATTCCATAGGAATATTGTCTTCTCCCATTAGAATGTAAGCTACTTGAGGACAGGGATTATCTTTCTTTTTGCTATATTTGTATCCCTATCATTTGGTACAGTTCCTGGCACATAGTAAGTGCTTAATTAATGCTTGTTGACTTGAATTGCTTAGAGGGAATTTTCAAATGAGCAACACAGATTGGCACCTTCTTTGCCACTGATAGTCTTAAAGAGTTGACAAGAGAACAAGAATTTAAGTGACTTATCCAGGGTCACACTGTATGTGTCAGAGGCAGTGTGGCATAGTGGACAGAGAATTGGCCACAGAACTGGAGAGCAAATCTATCTACAAAATTAAACCTGCTCCCAAATCCAGCATTATTCACTGGTGCCATTGGGGAAAATACTGATCACAGAACCAGTATTTCCAACCATACTCACATATGACAAAATGGAACCAGAGATGTAAGAGCTAAAAGAGACTTTAGAGTCCATTCTATTCATTAAACCTTTTTTTAAGTGCCTACTATGTGTCAGGCACTGTATTAGGTGCTGAGAATACAAAGACCAAACTGAAACAATCCTTGCTCTCAAGGAGCTCACTTACTAAAGAACAACTGATTTCTAGAGCTTCAAACCAAAATCAGAGCCCCAAAGTTGGCCAACCCAACTCTTTCTTTCTGGAACACAAAAGCTGTTCCTTATGACTTTTTCCGTATATTTATATATTTTTAAATCTTCGTGATAAGAGTTGGAATTTTTCCTTGGTTTTTGAGGACTGACATCAACTTGGGAATTCTCTATCGTTGAGGTTCTTACTCAAGCAGTGGACCTTTGTTAAAGTAGGGGAAAGTGAGGCTTTCTCTCAGAGATTTCTGTTCCATCATTTTGATGTATGATACTCTACCCTTTGACAATAGGGTTTACACATCCTCAACTTCCTCCAATCTTATCTATGATTGGTAGGTAAATCCTAGAAAGTTGCCTGAATTTCTAAGAGGTGAAGTGATTTACACAGGTAGTCAGTGTCAGAGGCAGTATTGGAATCCAGTTACTCCTGATTCCAAGCTCTATTTACCAAACCAGTCTGCCACTACATAATTTTTTTTCAAGTGGAGCTGTGATTTTATTGGTTCAGGGAAATCCAAGTATGGAAACTCCCTTTACTAACACAGATCTGCCACCATTCTACAGTTTAGTCTTAGACACTTACCTGGGACAGTCAGCGGTAAAGCAACCTGCCCTAGAACTAGGACTAGGACCCAAGTCTCCATGACTCTGAGGCCAGCTCCTATCCAATTCACCTCTCTCTACCTAGATATTGAGTCATATATGGGAGAATATAGGACACATAGATTTCAGAGGACTCATTGAAGGTTTCAATACTCAACTGAGAATGAGTTCGATTTGTTTGCATTGGCAGCAAAGCAGCCGAGCCAAGGGAAAGTGAAGGACTCACCCTTCTGCTGGAGAACTGCTCCTCTCTGACCATATTTTCTGATGTCCGAGGTAAGCTTGGCATCGCTCTTGGTTCTTCTCCTTTGACATTTTGTCTTCGAAATGTGTGCCTTAAAACATGTGCAGAATAGGAATGTTATTGGGCTAGAACAAGCAAGGATTATGAGGGAAACAAGGAAACATATGAGCTAGTTCTGAGACACATCAGTAGAACCAGGAACACAAAATATACAATTACAACTATGAAATGAAAAAAAGAGAAATGTACATATACCCAGAAATACGTCTGTATCTTTTTTTATTTCTAAGGTCTATCAGGAAACGAATTACTATAAGGTAAAAACAAAAAAAATCAATAAATCTCAATACAGACACACACAACATACACAAGAAACACACACTTGTCAGTTCACACATTAAAACATTGTTCAAATCTGGCCTCAGAAACTTACTAGCCATGTGACCCTGGGTAAATCACTTCACCTCTGTTTGCCTTAATCTACTGGAGAAGGAAATGACAAACCACTCCAATATCTTTGCCAAGAAAATCCCATGGATAGTACTGGCGTGCTATGGTCCGTGGGATCACAAAGACACAGCTGAATTACTAAACAACAGTAAAATACTTTTATAACATGACTCATCTTTAGGAAATTCTATTTAATTAGCTTTTTTTAAGCCCCACCCCCCCCCCCAGGGGACCAATGTATAATCCAAATGGAACTACTGAATTTAAGAGTAAAACGGGTTAGGGGACATTTGTCTACTGGGGAAAAAATCCTTAAAAGAACTAATTAGATAGAAACCCCCTTAGTTTACAAATAAGGAAACCGAGGCACAGAGAAGTGAAGGGATTTGCTCAATGTCACATAGCTAGTAAGCAGCATTTGGAAATACTTAATATAAGATTATAGATCTAGACTATAAAGGGATTTCAGAAGCCATTGAGTTTAGCATGTTCATTTGACAGATGAGAACCCAGATGGGTATTGAAGTCAAGAGATTTGAGTAGCATTTGGAAGGTTTCTTAAATTAATTCTGAATCAGATAAACATTTACCTTTTGGTGGGAATTGGGATTCGAATAAAAGCTTTGTACTTCAGTAGTTCTCTATGAAACTCTTGAAAATGCTTGAATTTCCTTTTGACTTGCCATGTAAATTCACCATGGGTTAATTCAATAGTGTAAAGATTAACACTTGGCACCTGCAGTGACAGATAAAAGTTACTGGCATCTGGATGGCAACTGATAGCTGTAAACCATTTAAATGTGACATTTAAAAAATGAGGAACTGAGTCACATCACAGACTTGAAGAATGTACAAGCTGGGAGGAATCTTATTTCTCAGAAAGTTGCTTAACAATTCTCACCAAAACGAGCCCAATCCCCTCATTTTACAGAAATAGTTAGGTGATTTTTCTAAAAATGGAATGAATTATTTGCATGCTCATCACCTCAAGGACATCATTAATAGACTCTCAGATTTTGAGTTCCATAGACAATGCATTCCTAGAAAGCACAGTCACCTAAAACCAAATTGACTAGAGATTGAGTCAATTGTCCTTGACCAACCAAGCACATGGACACGAGAGGAGTGCTGAATGAGGGAAAACAGAGATAAAGCCAGGTGGTTAGAGCCAGATGCAGACAGAAAAGTGGGACTGCTCTGCTCTCTTTCTCATCCCCCAGAAATCATACAGAAAACATGGAAATGGGGAACTTCCATTGCCTTCTCTCCTCCCACTGTGCTCCCTTGAGGAGCCTGGAGTCGTAGACTCAGTTGGTAGAGTTTTAGAGTCTATGAGGGGTACCACGGACATCTTTCTGTTCAAAAATATCTCCCCAATTCCTCCCACCTCCCTCAGCTCACAAATGAAAGATTCAAGTTAAAAAGTTCTTTCAAAAAGTAAGTTACCCTAGAAGATTGTACTATGTATTACTATAATTAGATCATCAGATTGGCTAAAATAAAGCTATGTGGAAATCACAGCTTTTATTTTGGGAGATGCGAAAATATAAATCTGGATCATAGGGATCTGAGGTACAGGATCAGCTTATGTAGACTGCCATTGTTGGAAGGCCTTAGGCAGTCATAGGATACTGGGAACCTGGAAGGGAGGATGGAGAAGGGGCCAGGAAGCAGAAAAAAAAATGAAGAAAAGGAAGCAAAGCAAACCTTGCCTACTCTGAAATGTTACGTAAGGATATAGTGGCAATGATGCCCTGTGAGTTTCTGAAAAATCACCTTGGTTCCACCTTTGACAAGTTGGTAATGACTAAAATTCTCTGGAAACATGTAGCAGAGAACCACACGGATATTCTCATGTATATATTCAAAACCCATTCATTAAGCAGATATTATTGGCAAAGCACTTTGCTAGGAGTCATACAAAGAAGATTAAAATATGGTCTATATGAAAAGAGACAGAGCTCCCAGGAAGATGGAGATGAGGATCCTTCTTTCATCTGTCTCAGTTACACCACAACTAGAATATTATGTTCAGTTGAGGATGCCACATTTTAAGAAAGATACTGATAAGTTATAGAGCATCCAAAGAAGGGCTATCAGTATGGTAAAGGGCCTTGAAATTGTCCTATTGGGAGACTGGTGGGAGGAACTAGGGATGCTTGTCATGGAAGAGAGAAAACTCATGGGGACATGATGATTCCTTCAAGAATCTGAAGGGTTGTCAAGTGAAAGAGGGATCTGCCTTGGTCTATCTGGTCACAGTGGTCAGAACTATGATAAATGGGTAGCATTTGCAAAGAGGGAAAACTAGGTTTTATGTAAGTTCAAATTCAGGTTCTGCAGCTCCATGCTCTGGGCTCTTCCTACTGTGTGGTGATAGCAAGGGAACAAAGCAAGAAACCAGAAATGGACCCATTGATCCTAGCTGGGAAACAAGGATATGGGCACGGAGGCAAGAATGGCAGACCCAGGGAGACAAGAGAATTTACAGAAACAAAGCAGAACCTAATTTGGGAGTGACCAAAAGAAAAATCATGTCATAGAGGAAAGAAAATAGAAAGACTTTAGTGCACTTGGTTGACTTTTCTTTGAAATCTTGAGGAACCCAGGAGAAACACAAGTTCTATCCTGTGCTTTGTAATTATATGGAGTGACCCTGGGGTCTAAAGCAATGGGCAAGCTCTGGCAGGTCATACCAAGCTGGCAAGAAGTTGAATGTAGACCAGATGACAGGGTATATGTTTCTTGGCCAACGGACAGCCTGGCTAAATCCCAAGAGGTTCCTCATCAAGGCGCTGGCTGCCAAGCGAATTTTGGTGACCAGCAACTTATGAAGGCTCTCTACTTACCTAGCATGGCAGAAGAGTTGCTACCTGAGCTGGTGGAGCATACTCACTCCACTGGGAGCAATCTTCTTGGAGATATAAAACAACTAAGTGAATTAGCTACGTGCATTTCCACGTGGGTACTGACCCTTGTTGTAGAGGTGAAGCGCTCCACTTCCAGCACTTGGGCTTTGACAGGACACCCAGTGAGATAGGTTGTTATGTTGGGCTCCTTAAATCCTTGAGTGTGGTAGATGATAGAGAAGGGGATGCGCACTAAAAACAATTCATTAAATAAACATGACAACAGTCAACAATCACAAGAGCGTTTTATGTTTTAAAAAGTGCTTTCTGTTTGTCAAATCCTTTGATCCTCATGGAGCTGCCCTCTAATTTAGCATCAGTCTTGGCTCCCCTTTACAGATGAGCACATTGAGGCTGAGAGAGGTTGACTTACCTAGAGGTCACCAACTAGGTTATTTACTGGGGTCAATGGCTAGAAAGCATCTGAGGTGGAATTTGAACTCAGTTTTTGTTTTTTTTTTAATTTTCTACTCCCTCTTTCCTCCTTTGACTGGGTACTGGCCCTTTATCACCTCACACCTGAACTGAGACAAGCTGCTGGTTGGTCTCCCTGCCTTAAGTCTCTCCCTATTCCCACCAATCCACTCAGCTGTTATTGATCATCCTGAAATGCAAGTCTACCTGGATCACCTTCTTCTCCAGTAAATTCCAGTAGCTCAAACATAAAATTGTCTGCTTGGCTTTGAAAGCCCTTCATAGTCTGACCCATTTCTGCCTTTCCATTCTTCTTACCCCTCTCTTTGCTCTATGTACTCTGGCCTCCTGGCTGGTCCTCATGTAACCGCGCTCCATCCCCAGACTGTGGGCCCTTTCCTTGGCGGTCCCACCTGGAGCTCTCTTCCTCCTCATCTCTGCTGCCGAGTTTCCCTGGCTTCCTTCAAGTCCTCACTAAAATCCCACCTTTTGCTAGCAACCTTTCCCAGTCCTTCACCTTCATGCCTTCCCTCTGGGATGATTTCCAATGTATCTTTCACATATCTTGTTTACATGTTGTCTCCCTCATTATTATGTGAGCTCCTTGAAAGCAGGGTCTGGTCTTTGCCTTTCATTGTAGGCCTAGCACTCAGCATAGTGCCCAGCACACAGTAGGTGCTTAATAAATGCTTGCAGCCTTGACTCCAAGTCCGGTACTCTAGCCATTAGGTCATGTTGCCTCTACAAGTATAAACTGACTATAAAATGCTTGATTTGGTAACCATACTTTCTTAAGATTATAGATTTTGACCTGGGAGGATTTTTGGAATTCTCAAAATTTAGCATTTGAAAGATAACAAAACAGACTGAGAAAGGTGAAATGATTTGGCTACAGCTAACTGTACAGACAGTGTTTTATGGTTTGCAAACTGGTGAGAAAGCTAGCTTTAAAATCAAAAAGTCCTGGGTTCAAATTCCACTTCTGGCATATATTGTCTGTGTGACCTTAGGCAAGTCACATAACTTTTCAGTCAACTCTCTAAGACTCTAAGTTAAAGAGAAGGTGCTGATATTCATTATTAGAGGAAACTTCCTCAATCATTCTCTACCCTAATGAAATCACAGCATCAAAACCAAAATGAAATGGAAAAACTCTATACGGAATAAGCAGAAGAAATGAGATTCTGGCTTTGAAGCCAGAAGAACCAGGCTTTAATCCTGACCCTGCTGCTACCTTGGACAAGTCACTTGATTGGGTCTCACTTTCCTCTCCTGTAAAAGGAGAGATTTGGAATAGTTAGAAAGAAAAGGAATGGAAACACATTTATTTTTTTGTTGTTGTTCCGTAATTTCAGTTGTGTCCACCTCTTTGTGACCCCATTTGGGGTTTTCTTGGCAAAGATACTGGGGTGGTTTGTCATTTCCTTCTCAGCTCATTTTACAGATGAGGAAACTGAGGCAAACGGGGTTAAGTGAGTGTGTGACTTGACAGAGGCCAGATTTGAACTCAGGAAGATGAGTCTTCCTGCCTACAGGCTCAGTGGTCTATCTACTGAGCCCCCAGTTCCCAAATACCATGCTAAGTACTAGAATAAAAATAGAAAAGCCAGATAGTCCTTGCTTTCAATGAGTTCAATTTCTATTTGAGGAGACAACACGTATAGGAGAGTTCAGCTGCTAGGAGGATGGAAACGCCTGGCATTCTTAAGGCTACGGGGGTGTGGCTGATAGCAAGTCCAAGGAGTCTTTAGGGTAGGGCGGCAAAGTGGATGTCAATATGTTTGAGTGGCCATGTCCACTCTGTAGCCAGGAGCCTAGAGGGCCCAACGCATGATCACGGAGAAGAGGAAATTCTAATAGAATTTTCGGAGGCTGGGATGGTAGGTGGAAGGATTCTGAGCCAGCCCCGCCACCCCCGAATGTGAGAATCTAGGCAGGTGGGGGTCAACCTGGGAGGACTGGGGTGATGATGACCTCAGAAGCCCCTTCTAAATCTAAATCCATGATCCTGTCACTCGGGCCTACCTCCTCCGTCTCCCAATCCCACGCTCAAAGGCATACTCCAAGGGTTTTCATCAAAAAGCAAACTAGTACTCTGGAATGGGCTCTTTCATAGAACTACGGCTTCACTCATAACTCACAAACCCATCTCCTACTCCCTGCACCCACATGGGAAGTGCATTTCTTTCCCCAAGCTTAGCAACCTTTAGGTGCTGAAGGGACAGAGATCTCCATCTTACCAGGCTTGGAATCCTCCGGGGACAAATCAAAATCCACTTCCTCTCCATCAAAATGGAGGTCCCTGGTGTCCAGGTTTTCTATGATGTTGCTCATGTCGGCAGCAATCTTCTGCAGTGCAGAGGTGTTTACTCGGGGTTCATTCTTCAAAGACATATTAAGTTCTGATGGTGCTGATGCCCAGGAGCTGGGAAAGAGGAAGTAGTTTTCATTTTAGGCTTAAATCCAAGATAAAATGCACTACACTAAAAATTTAAAAACCTCAACCACAAAAACCAACAACCAACCAGCTGTACACAGCCCCCAGCCATCCTAAGTAATTTAACCCAATAAACACTTATTAAGTACCTACTGTGTACAAAAGAAAAAAAGCCAACAAAATAATCTCTATCTCTGAATAACTGACATTCAGAATGATATGAGGTATGTAAACACTGTGTAAACCTTTAAGTGCCATTCACATATGAGCTATTATGACTACTGGGTAATTTCATTATCGTTGTTCAGTCATTTTTAGTTGTGTCCAACTGTTTGTAACCCCATTTGGGATTTTCTTGGCAAAGATACTAGAGTGCTTTACCATTTCCTTCTCTAGGTCATTTTGCAGATGAGGAACTGAGGCAACTGAGGGTTGAGTGACTTGCCCAGAGTCACACAGCTAGTAAGTGTCTGAGGCCAGATTTCCACCCAAGAAGAGGAGTCTTCCTGACTCCAGACCTGGCACTCTATTCACTGGAGCCACCCAGCTACCCTAGACTGGGTGATACAGTGAGTAAATAGTTATCTAAATGGAGGATATTTTGAGGAAAGAAAAAGTATTAACAATTAGGAAAATGAGGGAGCACTTCTTGAAGAAGGTAGATTTGAACTGAGTCTCAAAGAAAGCTAGGGTTCCTTAGAGGCAATGCTATTTACATTCACTGTGAGCCTGGCATTGTGGTTGGTATTGGGAGTACAAAGACTAAGGTGTAAAATCCCTGCCCTCAAGGATCTTACAGTCTATTCTATGAGACAATATGTATATAAAGAAAAATAGACAAAGCAAATATGGAGTAATTTCAAGGGGGAAGGCACTAACAGCTTGGGGGAGGGGTTCAGGAAAGTAAAATGTTAGTGGCGCTAACTCTGAAGGAAACTTGAGACTCCTGATTCATAATTTTTTACTGCACAATAGTGTCCCATTTCCTTCATACATCCCAGTTTGTTCAGTCTTCTCCTAGGTGATGGACAACCATTTTTTTTCTAGTACAAATAGAAATAAAAATACGTGTATTCACATATATACAGTATATATGTATACATAATATATATGTCTATACAAATATGTATTATATATATGCATATATACATGTTGTTGTTCAGTCATTTTTCAGTCATGTCCAACTCTTATTGATCCTGTTTGGGGTTTTCTTGATAAAGATACTAGAATGGTTTGCAATTCCCTTTTCCAGCTCATTTTACAGATGAGGAAATGGAGGAAAACAAGGTTAAGTGATTTGCCCAGGGTCACTCAGCTAGTAATTGTCTGAGATCAGATTTGAACTCAAGAAGATGAGTCTTCCTGACTCTAGACCTGGCATTCTATTCACTGCACCACTTAGCTGCCCATATATGTGTGTGCATGTATATGTGTTTGTATATATGTGTGCATAGGTGTGTGTGTATGCAGATACAGATATATTATAAAACTTCAGATGACCTTGGAAAGGAACATAGAACAAACATTTTTTGTCTGTCAATTCCCTTGTGAGATGCCTTGGATTTCATATGAGATTTTATGCCTTGTTGAGCATGTTTATTTGATCATCTTCTTTGTTGCTGGCTATTAAATGTATTATATATACATAGTGATTAAATATATTTTATATACGTGGTATGTGTGTGTGTGTGTATAATTACAGGCTGTGGATCTTTTAAAAGTTAACCGGGGAGAAGGGGCTTAAATTGAAGTCAGGTGCTTAGCCTTAAAAGGAACAAGGCAGTAGCTCTACAATGAAATGCTAATGAGTTTTTCATCTGCGCAAGTGGACTGTGGTATATTACCAACAATGAAAGTCAGGCAAAAAGTAATGGAAAATCTTTCATCCAAGAAATGTATACTCACAAGAGGAGCAGGGCTGGCCAGGTTGCAAGACAGAGGGATGGCTGACACGCATCTGGAGAAAGCCCAACTACACATCAACTAATTTAAAGGGAACCATTACAGTGACACTGATATGTATCAATGCAGTCATTTTTGCCATGGAGAGGCAGGTTTTCATAAAATTAAAATTTAGTGTTTGGAATTCTTCCTTCTAATAAAGCTAAGATTTCTTTGTCTTGGGAGAATGTTCTTTAGATTCCCCTATTCCAATAACCAAATGTTAATTCTTGGAGGAAGAGGAGGAGAGAGAAAACCGGATCTGGAAACTTCTAGAAGGTCTAAGGTAGAATCTCAGCTCTGCTACTTACTATGTGACCCTCTGTGAGTTTCTTTATGTCTCTGGTCCTCAGTTTCCCCATCAGTAAGATGAGGAGGAATGAACTAAAGGATCTCGTGACCCTAGGATGTTATATCATGTGACAGGTTTGTAGAACATTACATACATATTCTGGACAATAATATCTAGTGTATCAATTGAGAGGTAAGAGAGCTGATGAGTCAAAAATATCAAGTTTTATTTCATTCTTTGGCCCATACAAACTGTGTAATCACAAGCATGTCATACAACCTCCAAATGCTCCCAGACAACTCTGGAAAACTATAAGTTATAGATGAGATGCTGATCAACTTTGGTGAAAAGAATGTCCATACCGGAAGTTCTTGGCACTGATGAAAGCACAGCTCTGAACAACAACAAAAAAACTAGTTTGTACTAAGGGGTAAAAATTTGGGGCTTGGAATTAGGAAGATTCATCTTCCTGCATTTAAATTCAACCTCAGACACTTAGTAACTGTGTGACTGTGGGCAAGTCACTTCACCCTGTTTGTCTCAATTTCCTCATCTGTAAAATGAACTAGAGAAGGAAATAGCAAACCATTCTAGTATCTCTGCCAAAAAAATCCCAAATAGGGTCACAAGAGTTGGACATGACTGAAAAATAACTGAACAATAATAACAGATCCAATTTAACACCCAGAACTTAGCACAATGCCTGACACGTAGTAGATGCTAAATAGTAGTTAACATTTACATAGCACTTAATATATAAATGCACTTTACAAGTATTATCTCACTGGGTCCTCATAACAACCCTGAAAGGTAGGTGCTATTATTATTCTGATTTTACAGATGAGGAAACTGAGGTAAACAGATTAAGGTCACATGGCTAGTAAATGTCTGAGGCTACATTTGAATCAGGTCTTCCTGATTATGTCCTGGCACTCTATCCACTGTGCCATCTAGGTGTCCCTGTTCAATAAATGTTTATTAACTGACTGACTGATTTATAAGCCTCAACTTACAAAGGCATGGTATTTAGCATTTAAAAGTCCATTGCTGGAAGTGGGATCATGTTTTCCCTTAAACAGTGTTGCGAAAGACATAAGGTTTCTAAGCTGATTTAACCTGTCATATAGCTAGACTACAAGAAAAAACCTCATCAGACTCTTATGCCCAACTACCTCCTGGACAGCTCCTATTGGGCACTCCCCAGGCGTTTCAAGCTCCCCATGACCAAGCCAGAATGCCTATTTTCACTGCCACTTATCCCTTTTCCTTAACTTCTCCATTTCTCTTGAAGGCATCTAACTTCCAAGTCATCCTTGGCTCTTCCTTCTTCCTTCTTTCATATTACTCATCTTCGTGCATTCTTAGTTCCATTCACACTGGCTGGCCAGCTGTTGCCTCTTTGAGAGAATGTCTCCAACCTCTTGCAATTATACTGTATCCCTTTGCCTACATTTTGCATTTATTTACTTATACACACATCATATCATCTCCAGTAGAACGTAAAGTCCTTGAGAGTGGGGACTAAATGTTAGTTACTATTAGTTATTTCTTATTATTATTATCATCATCTTTTATTTCTGTATAACCTGAACCTAGCATAGCACTTTGCACATAGTAAGTGTTTAACAGATGTTTGTTGAATGTATAAAGTTGTTTTAATGGACAAATGTTCTGATTTTCATCAAGGGCACCAGGACATGATGCTAAGGGGGAAAGAAAGGAAAAGGGAAAGAAAAACATTTTTAAGCACTTAATATGTACCAAGAACTGTGCTAAGAACTTTGCAAATATCTCATTTTATCCTCAGAACAACCTTGAGACATAGGTGCTATGATTATCTTTCTTTTACAGTTGAGGAAACTGAAGCGGATAAAGATTAAATGACTTGCCCAGGGCCACATGGCTAGTTAGGGTCTGAGCTAGAGTTGAACTCAGGTCTTCCTACCTCCAGGTCCAATGCTCATGTAGCTGCCTCTTCCTCTCCAGAGGATTTATGGAAGAAAGGATGGAAGTGAAAGCAAAACAAGACAAGAAGGCATGAATGGGTTACAATCTGCTCTAGGGGAGGGGGTGACGTACACATCAATGACACCATGATTCCACTCAAGTGTCCTGGAGAGGAGACAGACTCTTGCGAGAAATTAACTACTTTTGGAATGTAATCAACAATAGCAAATTCCATGCTCAAGTAGCAACATGCTTCTTCTTGATGAGCTCACCTAGGAAGAACAATTTCTAAAAGAAAATTATGCTATTTCATGGGCATTTCAACATGGAGATATTAAAATAATATTCTCCAGGTACGAAACCATTCTGCAATATCCATAGCAATATAGCATGCCATATGTTATGGGGTATGGGAAACACAGGATCCATTTCTTATCAGAGATTTTGGCTTAACGTTAGTTTGACTGAAAAATACATTTTGGATGAAAATTATTCTAACTGATATGTACTCAAGGTACAAGAATGAGACAGGCTTCTTTGAGAAAAAGGGTTCTATTTCACTGAGACATCTAATCCCACAAGCCGCTGCACATCAGTAGCCAAGGTAGTGAGGTTTATATAGATTTCATTTTTCATTTCAAATACTGAGTTTTGAGCCTACAGGACTGTCAAGAGTGTTAAATAAAAATTCTATACATTGAGTATAGAGAGAGTTTCTCAGTTATATACATGAAAATGAAGTCTAAGCAACTTTTGGGGGTGGGAGGAAGAATCATTAATCATGAATCATTAATCAAATGTTTATAAT